ATTTATGTTTTTCTCAATTCTTTTCAAATAAATTCTTCGAAAAAGTTTCATCAACTTTTAGCTTATAAAAAGTACAGTATAGCTTGGTAAATTTTCATGGAAAGAAAATTATTTCAACTTCCACATTATTATTGTTTCTGTAATTGTTTAATTCTTTTCGAAATTCTGATAAGTTGAAAACGAATTGAAATATCAAAAGATAATAACTTGATTAATCCGAGTAAAATAAAAGGACTTCATTTTCTCGATTACTACACACTATGAAAAATTGTTTGAGTAGCTTTAAACAGAAATAGATGCAGTGTAAGAATTTACTTAGTTGATATTTTAGTCAAATATAATCATTCAATAAGACTTTTTTAGATAGATTTTAAGTGACATACTATGACTATATTGGTTTCAATGATTCAACTCATAAGAATGATTTCGTTATAAGTAGTATTTTTTTTCAATTCTGTTGTTTTATACATCTAATTCATTTTAAGAAAAAAGAAGTCTATTCAAATCCTGTATTGCATTCAATATAGTTTTATGTGAGGATTAAGGACTTCTAAAGTTTTATCAATAAGATACAATTGTTATTAAGATAAATTTCAAAATGTGAATCGTTCCAAGATAATTTCACTATCTTTAATAGAATTATAGATATCAACAACACTTACTAGTTGATATGTCAACATAAATTTTGTTTATAAGTGATCTTGAACTTTGTCGAATTGCCATCTTTGATAGTTTGTTAAGTTCATCAGTTAGCTGAATAAGTTGATTTTTCCATCGATATAAGTCTGTTTCAACAAAATCATTATCTTGACGATTTTGTCTCAATTGATCAGTTAATTTATTCAACTCAATTTCTATACCAGTAATATGTTTAGCTGTATATTTTAGTAATAGTTTTCTTGCTTCATCTGCTGTTTGTCGAATTTTATCAATTGAATTACGTTCCCAATCATTAATTTGTTGTAATAAAATGTCATTTTGTGATTCTGATGTTTGTTCACTTAGTGTTTGTCGAAAGAGATCACGAGTTACTTCAACTTCATCTAATTGTTTATTTAACTGTTGACGATGATCAACGAAATGATTATAACAAAAGGTTTTCGAACAACCTTCACATTTCGATACTCCTTTTACTTTTCGACATGTCTCACAGAGATTTCTGTTAGTTGTCGTTGTTGCCATGTGTTGAATATGCGTTTGATAATGGTGTGTGTTGAGAAATCAAAAAAAGAAAAAAGAGAATAGAAAAAAAAACAGTATTCTTTTCATCTTTTTATGTCAATAAAGATCGCAAAAAATAAATCATTAGGAAAAAGTGCAAGTGAAAGAGAAAGAACGAAAAAAGATGTCGTTTTACACAATATTTATGCAAGTAAACCAACAGCCATGATAACCAACCTCCTCATTCCCCATCAAAATGTGGTTCCGATTTTCAACAAGAAAACATATCTGTCTCAAATTAGCTCTGCAGTATCTTTGATCTCTACGATTATCGTGTTCTTGTGTCGAACTTTGTAACTGATTTTAATCAGCGCTGGCATAGAACTTTGGCAATCGATAAGGGACGCAGTAAAGACGGCAATGCCTAATTTCAGATCAAATCTAGAAAGTGTCTTTTAAAACGCACTCCGAACACAAGCAAAATCTCTTTAACTCTTTCTCAGCTATCAATGTAAGTCGACGTCTTTTCAAATCACGAAGAATCTCTGAAAAGCATTCAACGTAATTTGAATAGAATTCATGAGAAAGGCAAGATAGATTCATACAACGACGGATTACAACGAAATACTAGGCTAATGAATACAATCGTGATTGATCGATGCTACAAAACGAAATAGAATAGTGGCTTTTTTTCGTCCAACATATTTCCTTAAAGAAGTCTCACGTCAGAACCTACTCCGTCGGTGCTTTGATATGCATAGATACTGCATAAGGATCGTTCTATAATCGATTTCTATGTTGTTAATCTGATGTTGATCGATTCGGCTTAGATATATCACTCGACAGCAGATTTTTCTATTGGAAGAGTCATTGATGAAAAGAACTTTCTTTTTATTAGTCGTCGTCGTTCATCTGACAACTCTGCATCGACAGTTAAAATAATCATAGCAGCTTTCTGGATAAAAAGTTGACGGTTGCACGTTTGTCTTCCTGCACTACGATTACATTGTTATGATGAAATAACAAAAATAAAAAAGCAAAGCAACACTTGTAATGTAAATACTCGACGAACAAAATGACTCATGATGGAAAAAGCCAACATGCGCACATATTTATGCTGGCTGTTCTAAAATATTGCTTCTTTTTTTTTTGCAGCTGAGAAAATAAAAGGTTCGACATAGGAGAGTAGTATTTACTACGCATGTACAGCTATTGATGGAATCTTTCACAAAAGTCCTCTTGAGTGCGCTGTCTGGTAAGTGACACAAAGACCGGATTCTTGATCGAATCAAATTAGGATGGATGTAGGGTGAGGATGAGGGTAGTAATATTTTCTGTATTCACCTACACCTACACCCACACGCTTTTGATGGTCAAACAGTCGAATTTTGGTCGAATTTGGACATACTTTTTCATTGTCATGGATAGTATTTTGAGTTTTTGGTCACCTTGCTGACCTTCTAGAAACCCAAACATTAGTGCATCTTGTAGAAAAATGAATTCTCTACAATATAGGCTAATAAAATGTTTAAGGAGACACAGTTTATTATTGAAGTGTCCTCGGAAACCCTCAAAATTCAGTTTTTCCAAATAGAAGTTTTGAAACCTTTTAAACTATAAAAACTATAAGTGTCATTGTTTAAACGAGAAAAGTATTTCAACTTGTTCAGTTTTATTTTCTCTTTCGGATGAAATGTTGCTCAAAAGAAAGTCATTGTAAAATGGGCGAGAAACAAGCGAAATACGAGCTGCCGAATTTTTGGAAAAATTGCAAAAAAGTTTATTTTTTAAAAATTCCATATCTTAACAAGATAGCATTTGTTTGATCTAAAATTTTGGATAAATAGGTTTCTCGACACGAACTATCGAATGAGCATAATCAAATTTGAATTTGAAATTTGACTATATGACACCTCTACGGCAGTATTCTCGATAGACTCGTGAATCCCCTCTTAAGAACACTCACAAAATATGCACTATCAGGCATGTTGAAGCTCTCTATGTTAAGCAGGGCCTTTTTAACTTTGTTAATTCATAACCTAATCGAATAACATTTTTATGCTTAGTTTTTCATGCTGATTCGAAATATAATATTTTCAAAAAATGTAACAAAGTAAATCTAATTAAAAGACGATGATTACTGTAAAAAACCAAGTTCATAGTTGTCAATACTATATTTTCAGTCATTCGAGTTTTGACCGTTCTTTCCAGTCAAACAGTACTCGAATCGAAATAAAAATTATAATTTTGTGACCAGCTCGTCAAACTCTATCAAACTATATATAAAGGAATGAAAAAAAGTTTCTGTTCGATTTTTACATCTTCTACACTTTACTTGGTTCAATACTTTCCATCACTACTGTTTATAATTTGAATAAATCAATCACAGTAATAGGAAATACAATGAAAATTTTTGCTTTTATAGCCAGAAAGATATAAATTTTTGCTGATTTAAGGTGTTGCAAAGAACTATTTGTTAGAAATAATCACAATAATTAGCTTCTTTAATCATTCAAGAGTATAGTTCTTAAATATCTTTTTATATTTATTTATATTCATAATAGAGTAGAGAATAAAATAATAGAAATTTCAAAGATAAGGTTGTTGCATTGTAGACTTGTTAGATATAATTCTCATTTCAAAGCATCACTGTACATTACAATAACAAACATTTATTTTGTAGACGTGAATGATTATTCACATACTGATAAATACACATACAAAATTCAAGAAAAAACATAGATGAGAACAAAGAAGAACATTCTTATTGTGAAATTTGAAATCAAATTTCACGTGATAATCATTAATACAAATATAAATAATCATTTTTTTTATTTACTCAATTGAAACAATTTCAATGGAGTTTCTTTGTGTTCTAGCAGGTTGGCCATCAACTATTGCTTCTATAGTTGGTACAATTTGATTATTATTGTTTCGTTCGTTTACCCATTTTCGGCATCGTGTGATAAAAATCTTGTCAAGTACATAGACGAATTGTTTTCGAAATCGTTGAGAAACACAACAATAGACATAGAAAGAGAGCTATCATTTAAAAAAACGGCAAAAGTGATTTTTCTGCTTTTTGTAAATAAAATACTTACAGCATAACTTGAATAATCGATTAAAACTGTAATTGAGAAGATAAGATTATTACGTGCTATTTGTTCAGGATCTTTACTAACTTGATTCAATGAATATGTAAAGTAAATCACATGAGGTAATGTTGTTATTACAACAAATAAAACATGAATAAGTGCCATTGCTGTTAATTGTCTATCTCGACTTAAACGCACAATATTCACTTGTCGACTGACTAATGTACGAGCACTATAAAAAGCCAGTAAAGAAAATGTAATCATTGTAGTTAAAGGGAAAAATCCAAAAAGAATTGGATATTGAAAACGAGTTACATATATTGCAAAACGCGAATCAATAACTGTACATGTACCAAAGGTTGTATCCCAGTAAATGAGAAACAAAATGCAATATATACTCCAAAAAATGCAAGTAAGTAGAATATTACGTTGAGCCGACCGTAGGTTACTAAAATGTCGATATTTACTCATAGATAGGTATTGATCAATGGTTGCCAAACACAATCCTGTAAATAAAATCGCGTTACACCATCCTGCCATAGCTATTTGAACTTTGCAAACCCATGATATGCTTCTAATATCCGTTTTAAAACCTTCACTAAGGACACGTACAAATAATGCAATTAATAATTGACCAATATTGACTATTGAAACAATGATCAAATAAAATGCACATGTTGTTTCTCGAAATATTTTCAGTGTTGTAAAAATAATAATATTGAATATTCCACCAATAACTCCAAGGATTACGATAGACAAACCATAATAAATATGGATTTGTTGTGAAATAAAATTCAATGTATCCTTAGTTGACATAGAAATATCTACGATATGAATACTACTAACTAATGTCAAATTTCTTTGTTAAATAAAATTATTTATCTAAAAAATTTACCTTATCTGTTTTAAACACGATGTAATGCAATTAGTATAAATAAACAAAAGAAAAAATCATTCCAGTGGAATGTACTTAACTTTTATGAATCTACAAGCTTCATTGCTTTCTTTTTCATTCTGTTATTAATCAGTTCATGCATATCAGATCATTATACTAATGGGTGGCCCATAATAAATGATAGAACTTTGTATTTCATATTTTAATCTCTAAAAACGTTTTATTAGAAAAAAAGAAAATATATCACGAGATGCAGCATGCAAAGTTCTACAACCTAGAGTAAAGTTGATTTTATAAGACCCCCCCCCCCCCCCCCCCAAAATCGATCTCAACCTCAGTACGTTCAAATGAGCTGAAATTTGGAGAATATGTTGGAGCTGAAGTGAGGAGGCTATGGTAAAATTTTCAGCTCGATACCATGACATTTGACAGAGATATACACTAAACAAGGATCAAAAACAGGTTATTTGGCAATCCATTTTTCTCTGGTCAGGCTCTTTCAATATATTTAATTTTTTTTTTGTTTGAAAGAGCATTTCAAGATGCAGTGCCTACCAGCGCTCTTTTTTTAGATTGTTACATTTTAAGCGAATAATAAAAAATAAGCTTAGTTTACAAAAAGGACTCTGGTAAGCACTGCGTCTTATGTGCTCTTTCAAGCGAAAAAAAGTATATATATATATAAAAATTTTGACAGAGCTCGGACACAGAATAATGGGTTGTGCAGCCAAGAAAGCATAAACTGAGAAAAAACGAAAAACATTTTTGTTTTTTTTAAAATAAGCATATTTTTCAAGAAGAGGTTAAGGAAAATCATCGAAAATTTTGGACAAAAAGCAGGTGTCGAAGAAAAAACAATAGCGTTTCTGGAAGAACAGAAGACGAGCTATCTTTCCATGCATTTATCTCAATTTCGACGATTTGGGCGAAAACTGACACTTTTTAAGGGCGAGTGGCCTTAACTATGTACTGTTTATTGTCAAAAGAAAAACTAAAATTCCGTGCGATCAATTTTCGTCCTTTCGAAAACTGACCTTACAGAATTTTGATGTTTTTTGAAAATAAAAAGTATAGAAATAAAATATACTCTTTGTAAATTGTAGAGCTTTGCATGTTGGATCTTGTGGTATATTTTGTTTTAATAAAACATTTTAAGAGATTAAAATATGAAATGCAAAGTTCTGCTATTTATTATGGGTCACCGTTATTTTTTTGAGGGACATCCGAACATTGAAATACATTTTCAATAATCTATATATAATGTTCAGTATGTGTGTGTCTGTGCTGGGCCAAAGGCCATAAGCCTATAAGGGGATAAGGCTATACAAGCGTAAGGAGATAAGGGGATAGTGCTGTAAAGGGATAAAAGGATAGAGGATAAGAGAATAAGAGGACAAGGGTATAAGGCAGACATGCAGGATCTACCCGTGTGCGCGAACGATCGTTCGGGGAAATTTCTGAAAATTTAGTAGCATCGGGAAAATTCAATAGCATCTAACAAAATTTTTTTGATGAATATTTTCTCCCATAGGAAGAATTTTTCAATTTTCCAAATGAATTTCATTTTATTTATATACAGAATGGGTTAAAAGTAAGGAAACACAATATTTTTTTGATTTCGTCTCTATGCATGAATAATAAAACCTCTTATTTATATCATATTTACTAGGTAGTGATAGTAACATGTGTAACATGTTATCAGTTCCGAGGCTCAATAGTTTATTTCAAAAGCGCATCAATATATATTGTATACTCTTTTGTGACTGTGGAAAAATTGACTATTTTTGGTCGAATTTTATTTTCGCTTATTTTGTTTGATTGACACAATTTGAAGAATAAATTGAATAGTTATATTCTTTTCTGAATCTCTTTAAGATAAAATAATGCAAAAAAATAATACAAATATGTTTTTGACTGAAAATTGATACAGTCAGACGAAAAGTGGCTATCAAATTCTACAAGAAAGCAATAATTCTTATTCTAGTCACACAGGAATACATAAGATAAACCGATGTCTCTTTGGAACAAACCCTTGAGCCCAGAGACCAATGATATGCTATGCTTCTGTCTACCATTACCTAGCATATGTATTATAAATAAGAGATTTTATTATTCATGTATAGAGACGAAATTTAAAAAAATATTGTGTTTCGTTACTTTTGATTCATCCTGTATACATCGATAAGGCCTTCTAACGGGTAGGGCAAAAGTTTTGCATTAATTTTGTTTTTGATGCAGCACTGTAATAGAGTCTCGTAGAGATTTTATCTTTTTTTTGTTAGAAAGGGTGGAGTGTCTAGTGCAAAAATATATAAATGAATATCATTGAAAATATTTGATAGAGACTACAGAAACTTTAGAATGGAAAGTACTGAAAAATGATTCTGCAACTTTTTTTTGAACTTGAAAAAGACGTCATTTAATCTGACCGCTTTTATTTTTACTCTTCTAATCCGAGTTTTACAAGATACGAGTAGTGAAGTTTT